TGGCAGCTCGAAAAACTCACTCTTATCGTTCTGATGAAAAAGGAACTCTCAAATTGGGGACGTAGTTCTGGCCTGAATCAAGAAGACTCTATATCTGGTGACAGGACTCTGTACCATGCCATACAAGCAGGATAATCTAGTCATGGCAGTCAGACAATTTCTGCGATCACATCATCCCCACTTGCCCCTGGCAACCTTACTCCCCAGACTGAAACTGCCTTGATTGTTATATGCGGGGGGCAGTTGAGCGAGATAAGACAAAAGTCCTTGTAACACCAAAGATTAACTGAAGGCAAGGATTATGTCATCATTCACCAGCTTAAACAAGGTGACCGCCCAGAAGAGTTGAACAGGCTGAGATAGATAGATAGATAGATAGATAGAATTGAACAGACTGTGATTGATAGACAGTAATGAACAGATTGAGATAGATGATGATTATGTGGATATAAATACGGTTTTTATCATCTGTAGAAGCGTGAACTATAATATACACAAGTTAGCAACGATTTGTATGTCTAAAGTGCTATTTTTGTATCATTTCGCCCCAAGCAAAGCGATAATTCCATGAGGTCGCAGGGCATACATATGTTACAAGAGAAAGGGAAGACATTAGTGTGGACAAAGTGATAAAACACACAATAGATGGACAGTGTTCAGGAAGACAGATGATGGCGATTGACCATGTATTTAAATTTTGAAGACTGTAGGTGTCTGGTAAGCCAGTAATCGGAATGGAGTTCCACAGGCGTGAAGTATCAGAAACTGTTAAAATAGAAAAGGCGGTTTCATCTTGCTAGTTCAATAATAAAAGTGTGTGACATAGTCGCCAATCTAGTAGAACGCTTAAATTCATGCAGTCGTGACACTCAGGAAAAAAAGTCTTCAGAATAGTTGCCATGAAAATTTTTGTAGAAAAGATAGAGGGAATTATGTCAGCAAGAAAATGATTGAAGTCAAAATATCAGATCAGGGTCAAATACATTGCAGACCCTTCTTTGAAATTTGTCTAAAATTTCGAGATGTACAACAGTAGCAGCAGACCAATTATAGCAGCAGTATTCCAAGCAGCGTCGAATTTATAAATGTTCATAAGGAATTCTGACAAGAAATATTTTCTGGCACGACACCGCGAACAGACTTTCCAAGCTGCAAACGTTTCAATTAATTCAAAATCTCAAAGTTCTCCTTCATATCAGTGGTAAACATGACCGCAGTAACGCACACAATCTTGCCGTTCTGGATTTTAGGCTCAGCAATGCTGATGGCGGATAGTAAAGGACCTCTATGGTGATTAAATGAATGACGTTTTGTCTTGTTGACACTGAAATTTGCGAGCCATTTCTTGCCCCAGTTAACAACACATTTAAATTTTTTTTCCATTTATGTATCTGCCTATTTTTCAATCGTTATATTGATGGGAGAAGAATTTTCAGTATCCGATTTTCCATGTTTCTATTTGGGACTCATCAGCAGTGCGTGAATCGAAGCCAAACCGTTACCATACAACGCAAGCGTCATACCACTGGACCAACGGGACTCGGTTACGATGAGGAAATTGACTAGACTCGATACAAATATATACATATATATATATATATATATATATATATATATATATATATATATATATACAGTGTAACCCGGATATAAGAGAGTTGTGGGCACCGGAGAAGAAGTCTCTTATATCCGGGTTTCTCTTATAACCGGGTTTGGTCTATTTTATATACATTAACACAGGCTCTAATTTGGGACCAGAAAAAACTCTCTTATATCCGGGTTTCTCTTATATGCGGGTCTCTTATATCCGGGTTACACTGTATATGTATATATATATATATATATATATAATATAATTGGTTTATGAAGCAGACATTAATAACGCAGAGATGTTTCATCATATATATATATATATATATATATATATATATATATATAAATATATATATATATATATATAATTGGTTTATAAACAGACATTAATAACGGAGAGATGCTTCATCATATATATATATATATATATATATATATATATATATATATATATATACTTTTCAAATTTGGAGGGCAGTTTCCTCATTTAAAAACACGATAAAATGTCTATATAAACATATGTCGAAAAAGTCAGAGTTCTACCTCAACACAGCAACTCATATCAAATGTACAAAATATCCACTGTTTGCTTCTACACACGCAAACACTCGTCGGATCATTGATTGGTGTACACATCCAAATACTACCGTACGATGTCAAATGGTTTCGCAGGCGCCCAAATCACTTTGCTGAAGCGTCTCTGCATTATTAATGTCTGCTGCAAAAATCAATTATTTTAGGTAACCCCACAGATAAAAATCCAAGTAACTGAGGTCGTTGACGTGCTGGTCATGGAACATGTCTTCCCTTAGCTATCTGTTTAAATCGTAAATGCCGGCTAGTGCATTGCGAACAATGTGATTAAAGTGTGCTGGAGTAGCATTATGCATGAACCACGTACCTTTTCATATTTACAAGGGTACGTCGTCTCTGCCGTCTGGAAGTGTGTTCGAAATAATGTCCCAGTAGAGAGCTCCTGTAAGGCATGCTGGCAGAAATATGGATCGACCAGCTAGTCATCTACTATTCCAACTGACACATTAAAGGTAAACTTGTGCTGGTGTCTAGCCTCTATTGTACCTTATGGATTCTGTTCCGCCCACAAATGTTGGTTTTGAAAATTTGTTATTCCGCTTTTTCCAAATGTTGCCTCATCCGTTAACAAGACTGAAGTGACAGATAACTGATCGCCAGTTTGTTCAATAAACTGTCATGAAAAGTTCTCACGTGGTTAGTGATCAGATGGCGAGAAACCATGCACACGTTGCAAATTATACGGATACAGGAACTGCTCTTGAAGTGCCTTCCATGCCGTACCATGAGATGTACGACATGCTAGGGCCACTTGACGTGTGCCAATATCTGGATCGTCTCCGACAGTCTGTAGAATGTGTTCTTCGTAGATCCATAGTTTGTGGTGCCACGGATTCTGTCTCAGCAACACGAGCATAAACAACAGAAAAGGTTTGATGACTCATCTGCCTTCGGTGTGCAAACGCAATCTGATACAGCCTTGAAGCCTCGCGTCAATTACCATTTGCGTTGCCGTATATACACGAATGTCAAATAGAACCTGCCGTATGTAAAAATCATATCTGCCGGCTCACGATATGAATATTTTTGGCATTGTTACACGAATCACATAACTCGCTACTACACACATTAAACGTTGACAAAAGACTAACGGCAAATGTACACGAATGTCAAATAGAACCTAGTCTACATAGCAACACAGGGCCATCTACCGCAAACTTACTTTAAACTTAATAACTCAAATCTGATACAGCCTTGAAGCCTCGCGTCCATTACCATTTGCGATGCCGTATGTAAAAATCATATCTGCCGGCTCACGATATGAATATTTTTGGCATTGTTACACGGATCACATAACTCACTACTACACACATTAAACCTTGACAAAAGACTACCCACAAATGTACACGAATGTCAAATAGAACCTAGTCTACATAGCAACACAGGGCCATCTACCGCAAACTTACTTTAAACTTAACAACTCAAAAACGAAAGATTAGCGGACATATATTTATATGGAATTTGCCATTATTTTGGTGTGAGGAACCTGCCCCAAAATTTTGTAAAAGTATTTTGATACACCTATATATATATATATATATATATATATATATATATATATATATATATATATATATTAATTCTTTAGAAATTGCTTTGTTTACATTTTGGATACGAAAATGAGCAGCTATGGTTTTCGAGAAAATCAGAACGGGTGAATGTGCTCGAAGTCAAATAGAATTTGTAACCGAGGTTTTCCGACTGATGGTCCTCTTCAAAAGTTTGATCCCAGAAACTGTGACTGTAAATCAAATCCGCTTATCGTAGCTGCAGTATAGAGCACAGGTGGGTTCTGTACATGTTGAACAAACACATATTTGCCTAAAAAGGCGTCTGCAGCAGGGATCGGTTAGCCACTCTATGCTGATAGGAAAATTCGAATATTATTATTAGTAGTAGTAGTATTTACATATGTGTTCTTCCACTAAATAATTATTATAGAATTAATGGTTTTCTCGATATGACATAAATCATTACTCGCAAGATAGTAAGCTGGATTAAACATTAACCTCCTTATTTTGTCTATATTTTTATACCGACACTCTTTTCTTTTAGTCTTATCCAGGGGTACGCAACCCTTTTTTTTCCACCGCCCACCTGTATGGAAAACCTTCAAAAAAATACTAAAATTATTTAGCAAAAGTGTGTTCTTTTATATGTCGTGTTACTTCATGACCCTCCTCGTTTTCCTCTCCTTGATGTTACTGGTTTCTAAACTGATTTATGATGGAGTAAAAAATAAAAAAAGGGAGGTAACAAATAATGCTGACTTATGCAATGACTGCTGCTGCTGCTACTACCATATTAAAGAACAAATGAAAGCAAACTTCATCCTTGAAAACTATATATGTAATTTAGTTTTAAAGTCAAGGTCAGATTTATGGTTAGGGTTAGCGTTGCAAGTATTGACAAAAAATTAACCAATTTTTGTCGATAATTTTAAAATTAAAAAGAATATGCTCTACTTCGCTGAATTTTTATTTGTTGCTACTAATAAAAATTCAGCGAATAATTTTTGTTATTTCAAATACTTTTTTGGCATTAATTTACGTTAGCACCTGCAAGAATATAGCCATTGTTGCAATCATTCACTCTGTGTAGAAAACGGTGCACAATTTGCGTGCGCGTTTTAACGCCGAGATACAAACTCAGTAGAAATTCCACTGTATTGCTTAGCGTTTTGTTTAACACTATATCTGTTCAGGTTCAAAAATCACTCATGGCCAAACATTACGCATAATGATAGTCGATATTTTCTTCTTTTTTTTTATTTATCTTCTGTTATTTTTCATTCTTATTATTTTATATTCCCCATGTTTTTCCTTCTTTCTTTTTTTTTTATTTTTCTCTTCTTCTATCTTACTCTCTTTCATTTTTTAATTTTCGTTGTCTTCCTTTTTTTTCTTTGTCTTGTTTACGGTGAATTCATTTTCTTTCTTTTTGTATTGTTTGTTTCTTTTTTCCTTTCGTGTTTAACTCATACGATTCTTTTCCTCTTCCATTTAATTCTTTTTTTTTTTTGCTTCTCCTTTCTTTTATTTTATGATTTTTTTTTTTCTGTTTCCTTTATTAGCCAATTTTTTCCTTCATTATTCCAGATTTTTCTTTATTTTTTATGTTCTGCGTTCTTTATTTTAAGTCGCATTCTATTTCTTTTTTTCTTTCTTTTTATTTCTTTCGTTCTTTTTCTTTTCTTTTTTTCTTTGTTTCATCTTCTTTCATTCCTTTTATTGTTTTGTTCTTATCTTTATTTCCCTTTTCTTTTTCTTTCTTTTGTATTTTTCTGTTTCATTCTTTTTCCTTTTTTTCTTTCTTTATTTTCCTTTACATCATTTGATGATTTTCTTTACTACTTTCCTTTATTCTCCTTTTTTTTATTCCATATTTGTCACTTCTTTTTTATATTGTCCATTCTTTGCTTTTTCTTTACGTATTACGCTCTATTTCATTCTTTTCTTCTTCCTTTCTATCGTTTTTCTTTTATTTTTCTTTGTCTTTTTCTGCTTTCATTCTTTCCTCTATCTTTCTTTATTTCATTCATTATACTTTTTTCATTCTTTTGTATATTATTTCTCATTCGTTTTCTTTTTCTTTCTCTCTCTCTCTCTCTCTCTCTCTCTCTTTCGTTCTTTTTCATTAATTCAGTTTATGGTGTCCTTCCCAACATTTTTTTCTTTTTTGCTGATTTTCCTTGCCCACTCACTATTATGGTATATTTCTTCTTTTTCTTTTCTTCTTTCTTTATATTTATATTTCTTTTTTTTTATTTCTTTTATCTTTTCTTTTCTTCTTTGATTTTTCTTGTTTCTCCATTTTTCTTTCCTTAACTTTACTTTCTTCTTATTTTGATTTTTTATTTTCGGCTTACGTTTTCTTTCTTTCTTGTTCACTTTCTCTTTTTAATGTCTTTCTTTCCCGTTTCTTTCTTTTTATTCCATTAATTCAAATGTGCTCTCACCCATAGCAAATCACGATCAGTCTATTCTACGCCTTCCAATCTTTTCTCCTCTTCAAAGCCCTCTTTTCTCCCCTCGACTCCCAATGTTTGTACACCATCCCTAACCCTTTGCCATCACATGGCCAACGCACATTAACACACCCGACGGGCAAGTGCACTCTCCTGACTTGGATTTCGAAATTGTATTCAGCGACACTACATCAAACCCTACCGCTCCTTAAAGCATCGCCATTTCAACAACTCCAAACGGCCCCCACAAAAACGTATATCCATGAGAACCCAGTGGCAGACAACATCAAGGAAAAATCGATACGTCATCTCGCGCGCTGCGAATAAAAAAAAAAAAGTAAGCGCCATTTTGAAAGCGACCCGTTATTGGAATAATATCATATCCCGCTTGACTTTTTAGAGGCAGAGCGGAGATTGATTTGGTCGACCCATAACATCTACTTCCCTGGTAGCCAGACCCCCATGAGCTATACCCTAATCCATCGGGTTTTTGCGTACACAAAAATAAATAGCCAGGTTTACCTCTGACCTCACGCCCCCGTCCTGTCCTCGCTTTTACGAACTTGTAATCATTGCCTTTACTCTTATGGCATCTGCGTCTTAGTTTCCTCTACGTCCCATGACACTGTCTGCTATCGTTGAATACAAGAAAAGACAAGATTAACTTCAGGCGGATTTTCATTCACGCCTATTAAAATTAACCCTCTTATGGATCTATTGGTTTGACTCAGTTTTAAGAACAACGACGCTGAATTTATGGGGTGCAATTTGATAGGTTTGCTTGGTTTCATTTTACGGCATATCAACATCTCAATGGGTTATTTAATGCCGACATAATTTTTATTGCTTGTAATATTTTGTTTTGTCCAAAATCTATTTCTGGTAATATCTTTCCTTCAAAAATGTGTTGCTGGTAATATTTTTTTTTTCAAAAAAACTATTGCTGGCAATATTTTTTTCTCAAAAATGTATAGCTCTAATATTTTTTTTCTAAAAAATATATAGTTGGTAATATTGTTTTAAAAAATATATTGCTGGTAATATTTTTTTTCAAAAATATATTACAGGCAATATATATATATATATATTTTTTTTTTTTTTTTTTTTCAAAAATATATTACTAGCAATATTTTTTTTTTTAATATATTGCTGGTAATTTTTTTTTTCAAAAATATATTGCTGGTAATATTTTTTTCTTGAAAAACTTATTACTTGTAATATTTCTTTTCTTGAAAAATTTATTGCTGGTAATATTTTTTTCTTCAGAACTTTATTGATTGAAATATTTTTTACAAGGTATTTCTGGTAATAAAACCTATTTTTCACTTTCCTAATGTATTTACCCCAGTTTCGGAGTTAACTATTTGCCCATAACTGGGACCCTAACAGGTGCTACCACCCCGGATGAGGGCGGAACTGGGAACACCGGCAATTAAGAGGTGGTTCCACGCTCCTCATAACTTCATTATTTTAATTATTATTATTATTTTTATTTTATTTGATTTCTGACGTTTACACATTTCCGGGTCTTTCCGGGTCTCACCCAGGGACCTAAGGTTAGAAATGGCATCATGACACTTTCCACTGACAAAAAAAATTACATAGATAAAGCCCTTCGTAAAGTGTGGGCTGTACTTGTCAGAACAATTTTTGTATCTCCTTGAGGCATGGACTTATTATTACACTGTAACCCGGATATAAGAGAGTTGTCGGGACCGGAGAATAAGTATCTTATATCCGGGTTTCTCTTATATCCGGGTCACTTATATCCGGGTTACACTGTATTATTATTATTATTATTATTTTCTTGGGTTTCTATTCCAAACACATTTACTTCTGCATCTCAACCAAATATCTTATGTCAGAAATTCCTTCAGGGCATCTTTCACTGACCATTTCTTGTAAAATAAACCCTAAATAATCAAGGTCACACACATTTTACATAGGTAAAACTCTTTGTAATGTGTGAACTGTATGTTTGATTACATTTTTTTTGTATCGTTGACAGATATGGGCTACCAGGAATCCCATCAATGAGTGTATTGGAACCTTTTCCAATCAATTCAAGAGCTCTAACTACAACTGGAATTATTGATGTCCGCATGTGCCACGTTTATGAGATTTTTACTTCAAGATCCTTATATTTTGATGGTTTTTTGAAGATCTTTAAAGATACATTATGATCTGCGGGAATTGCTATGTCATTAATAAAGCACATTCTTCTTTTCTGGTCTTTGATCACCATGTCTGGGCGATTAGATTTGAATAATTGGTCTGTGTCTATTATTATTATTATTATTATTATTATTATTCATAACTTTAGTCAATAACATTTACTTTAAATAGGAGCAATTGCTTTTTAACAATCAGCAATATATTTATCTTATAATGATTGATTGACTTGTTTTTATGGCTTTGTGAAGTTCGAAACACTTTTAAGATAGAATAATCTTATATTCTTTACGGTAAATATTACTAATTCTTTTCAGAATAACAATGATTTTTCCTGATATACAACAAACTATTTAACCCATAGATGGAGAGAAGTTATGGATATATTGTAAAATCCTTTGAACTGAACTTTTTTTTTATTATATCTATATTTTCAATATCACTTCAATTGATCCTGACAACTGACAATAACTTTTGTGCTGAATAGTAATGTATAAAATATACGTTGAATACCAAAATGAATTTTCGTTGAAAAAGAGCAAAATTGTGTATATTTCTTCTCCTGCTCCTTGTTCTGTCAGGATATTATAGAAAACGGTTTGATAAAAAAAATGTTGGAACTGTAAGGTAAGCTTGATATATTTTGGAAGGATATTAAACTAGTCCAGAACATATTTTGGCAGCAAACAACCTGCATAAGGAGAGAAAATGAATTTAGTAAATATACTAAATACAGAAAATAAGTGTAAGATGTTTCTTTTCACAGGATTTATCCAACCTATACAGTGGGGAAAGTCTGACAGAGTTAGAATTCCTACCAGGATTTATTACTGGCGGCTACAATCTTAACAACGTAAGATATGCAGATGACACAGTGTTGATAGCAAACAGAGAAAGGAAACTACAAACGCTCCTACAGAAAGTTGCGAAAGAAAGCGAAAAGAAAGAAACATCAATTGCAAAACTGTCTGCCAAAGGAACCGCCCAACATACAAATAACACATTGGAAATGCCAAATTCGAGTAAATAAAAAATTTAAATATCTGGGAATTGTTTTCATAGCAGAAAGAAACTACATCACCGATATCCGAAGGTACATTGGGATAGCGAAAGATAAACTTCACAAGCTAAACAAAGTTTTAAGAATCGGAAAAATTTCTTTAAAAAACTACAAAAAGAGTACAGAACAGTTATGTAATATCGGTCCTCCTACATGGAAGTGAATGCTAGACAATCTCCTACGAGACGAAGACGAGATTTAAAACAAAAGGCGTGATTCTACAGAAAGATGCTGAGGATAACATGGACCGAGCATGTGAGTTTTAGAGAAAATGAAAACAAAATAAACACTTAAAGTTAACATCACAGAGAAAGAGTTGGAATTTATAGAGGACATAATGTGGAAAGAGGGCTTGGAAAATTTGATGCTCATAAGGCAGATTGAAAGCCCGGGGCGCAGAGGAGATCCAGGCATAATCTGCCAATGTGCATGTGTAAAAAAAAGAAAAGGTTTTAAGAGAGATAACAGACAAAATTTATTAAAAGCTAAAAAAAAACAGGAATTTGTGGAGGGCCATGACCACCAACGTCTTGAAGGAACACGGCAGATAGAAGTAATTCTGTCACGAATTTCGCGATCATCCATTTTCTATGACTTCCTCTCGCGAGTTACTCTAAGTAACTTGTGCCCCTTTACCTACGGGAAGGGACAACTCAACACTGCCGACTCAACACCGCAACTGAGCGTCGGGACAACTCAGGACCGAGACAACTCAGCACCAGAAAAAAAACATAACTTTTTATATATAAGAATAGAAGTAATTTATTAAAACCTTAATTAGTGAATATTTTTCTTAAAATAAGGCATTTGAAAAAACATGTAAAATATGTACAAGTTTGTTTTTATTATTATTATTTTTTTAATAAAGTAAATCGTAATGTAATTTATAATAGTTGTCAGCCAAATAATTTCAATAATTCAAAACATTAAATGTTACAATATATTTCTTTATTTTTTTTAGAATGTCGATTTACTTTATTAAAAAATAAATTTCTTTCTGTTTTTTTTTTACCATCTTTTTAAACCAACTCAAACGTAGATCGTTCACTTTCTCTTTGCTTCTCTTGCATACAACAGACTTTTATAAATCACTTCACAGCAAGCAAGGAAATAAAGCCATTAAGGCCCATGGGGATACTAAGTGTTAGAGAATACGAGAAAAATATATTATTAAGGAAAGAATAAAAGAACAAGAAGACAGTAAACGTTGATATTGTTGGTTTTATATTCTCTACCACCCTTTCTTAGTGTTATGAATCATTAAAATATCGACTCTTGCTGATCGTAAGTATTCGTTCCATTAGATTTCCATTTTTTTCTCTTAAAACTTCCGTACTGCTCACATTCTTTTTCTAAATTATTTTAGTCATTCGTTAGTAAAAGCGGTCTGTAGCTTTTGTCCATCTGAGAAGATTGTCAAGCAATTTCAGTATTCATTGCCATATAGATAGTTGGACATAACATTGTAGTTCAACACCATTTTCTCTGTTTGCGACAGAAGTTTCTTATTTCTTAATACTTTGCTTAGAGATATCTTTTGTGATTTCTTGCTGAATTTCTACAGTCACCAGGAATATTTGGCGTGCTGATAAAGAAAACAAAGGAGCTTAGCAAATAGAAGAATATGA